CACCAGTCTCATGAGGAAAAAGGAAAGAATTTTTAAAATAATTAAAAAGGCCAAGGAAGTTGCTGCCAGACTCCAAGTCACAGTGACTCTCTGAGTCTGCTTAGTGTTAACTGTAGGGGGAGGCGAGAGAACTATGGGCCTCCTTTGCATAAGGAATTTTTCGCCTTTTAAGAGTTAAGCAAGGATTAAAAAGCAAAAAATTTCTTATGCAAATGAGGCACGTGATTCTCTCGCCTCGTCCTGCAGAGGGTTTAGGGGCTTTTTAAAAACATTTAAGCAGAGTCATCCGCGTGGTGACTCTAGCAGCAACTATCCTAGCCTGCCTGGGCCTGGCTCGGCCAAATCTTGCATTTTTGACGCAGCTGGAAGGTATGTGGGTCAGAGGGAGGGGGCAGAGGGGGGGAATTCAAAATTATTTGTAATGTAAGTAGTTGTAATTTGTTTTGTGTGTGTGTGTGTGTATTTACACCCGCCTTTGCTGGTGCGTGGGCTGGCACATTTATTTTTATTTTTCGTTTTTTATTTTATTTTTTAAAGCATGTCCCGCTGAATGGCCGGCCCGGAAGGCATGCCGGCACTTTAAAGTGCATGCCGCCTCAGCCTGCCATAAAGTGAAACATGTCCTGTTTTTTGGCCAGGAGGCATGCACTTTAAAGTGCCAACGTACTGCCCGGCCACAAACCAGGACATGTTTCGTTTTATGGTGGGCCGAGGCGGCATGCACTTTAAAGTGCCGGCATGCCTTCCGGGCCGGCCATTCAGTGGGACATGCAGACCCGGATATGGTGCTAGCTGCAGGCCGGGCCAGCGGGTGGTTGGCGGCATCGGGGGCAGTGGGAAACTTTGCATCGCGGGAACCGGCCAGCGCCTTTGCTGCAGACCCGGGTGCTTGGCGGCTCCCGTGATGCAAAGTGCCCCGCCGAGGCCGACTGCTGCCCCATTGGCTGCAGGCCAGGGCAGGGGACGGCGGGGCACTTTGCATCGCGGGAGCCGCCAAGCGCCTTTGCTGCAGACCCGGCCGCTTGGCGGCTCCCGTGATGCACAGTGCCCCACCGCCGCCGAGGCCGGCCGCTGCCCCGCTGGCTGCAGGCTGGGGCAGCAGTTGGCGGAGACATCAGGGACAGCGTGGATGTTGGCCTCGGCAGCGGCAGGGCACTTTGTATCACGGGAACTTCATTGGACACCGCTGCCGCTTCCTCCATTGCCGCTGCTTTCCCCTCTGCCCACTGTCATTTGTATTTGAGTATCTTTTCCAATGATTTCCAATGATTCAGCTATTCCAATTTGATCCTTATGCGCTGGGAATCCAAAATAGAGATTCAAATTCAAATGGGATAGAGAAAAACTTAGTCTTTCAATGTTTGTATTTTTATACCATACAAGCACCATTCCTGTATGTTTTTTGATCTGGCCTTCCTCAAAGAGCTGACTTTGGATGTATTTGGCACAGTTTCTTGGTGGGATGTGTTGGGAACAAGAACTAGCTCACTATATGCATTCCAAACTAAAGTGAAAGCATGTTCTTGGCAGGGAGGATCAGCAATGCCTAAGTAGGAAGTTCTTGTAGGATCCATTCATTCCTTTAGGAATATAGGTGTTGTCAGTATTACAAAGTAACTATAGATATGTGTATATATTTAAGGACAACAATTCTTTCACAGAGGCAGAGATAATGGAGGCTTTTTGTTTCTTTTACCATGTACAACAGGAAAGGAATTCTGTCTTCAGGTAGCCCTGGATTTGGAGTAGAGGACACCTCTCTGTATGGGTTTTTGTTTCTCTCCTCCTAGGGAAGCTTTCAGCTGTCTTCTTTCTTTGGAGCCAGGAACTGATTCCTGAACATTCCAGTGGAACAGTACATATACAATAATAGCTTTCTTCTGCTGCCAACTTCTCACACCAACTCTCCAATGGCACTTTTTACCCCAAAGCCTTAGAGCAGAACAGCACATCAAATATGTGCTCGTCATCTCAAGACTAGATTACTGTAACGCACTCTACTTGGGGCTGCCCCTGAAAAGTGTTCGGAGACTGCAACTAGTCCAGAATGCAGCCGCGCGAGTGATACTGGGTGTGCCAAGGTACACCCACGTCACACCTATCCTCCGGCGAGCTGCACTGGCTGCNAATCAGTCCGGTATTCAAAGTTTGCTAGCAGTTGCAAAACTTACAATAGCTCACGACACTTTCTAACAGCCAGCTTCCAAAATACTCAGATCAGATCAGCCCAGCATCTAACAAACAGAGAGATAACAGTCATTCTGGCTCCCTCTTATGGCTGATTGACGAAAATAGCAACCAATCACATTTTACAGTATGATTTTAAAAAACAGGTACAACAATGTTACATGATTTATATATTGCCAACCCAACCGTTAGATTATATTCTTAAACATTTGTCTCAATTTGTTATTTTAAACAGCTAAATCAGGCTCAGATCTAGATTATACTGGCAAACAAAGTGGTAGGCAGAGAGGAGACATACGTAGATGACCGCAGTAGCTGTTCCACTGACAACCAGAAAAAGCAGCATGAGTAAGCACAATGCAGAAAGCTATACTGCTGGTAATTAAGCTCAGCCTACAAACACAAAGTATAGCCAACCACAAATCAAACAGAGGCAAACTGAGTAACAATTTGCAGGCAGTAAAATATACCAAAGCATTCACAGATTTGTGAAAAACCAGGTGGGTGGTTTTGCATGTACTATCAAAATCTCCAGCCAAACTTTACTAGAGCTAATTTGGAACTAACATTCTAGGGCAAGGCTTACTGTTCCCAAAGAATCTTCCCTTACAGGTTTTCATATGCTTCTATATCTGGATCAGATTCAGCTGCCGGACATCACACAAGAAGGTTTTGGTGTTACTAGCTTACTTCATGGAATCAATGGGAGTCCTTGTTTTGCTTTAATCTTGGAGAGGAGCTCATCCACAGAGGCCATGACAAGCTGTGCCTAAATGCTTCTAACAAATGCAACATATTGTTCCACACATTGACCCACCCAAATTCTTTTGAGAATATAATATCCAGCACCCAACATTCAGACACATACTTCCTCTGAGTTCTGAAGTTCGATGTAGGTTAAAGTTCATCTTACATAACCTTCAGAAAGAGGAAGTGATTTAGAGAAAATGTGTAGGTTTTATATGCAGAATTTCATACTCAGAGTTTTTGATACCACTTCTTGGTGCTCTCTGACCTTGGTTGTTTACTTGCAGATGTTTAATTTTCTGACTAGGAGACTGTGGGGTTTGCTTCTATCAGGTGCAAGAAATAAGGAACCAGGATAGAGTTCAAAATTACTACAAATTCATTTCATGCTACCTATAGACAAGAATCTGAAGTACTAATAGACAAGGCAAATTAGCACCAGATAAGTATCAATGGGCTTCAAGGGGGGCTGGGTTCAGGTCTTTTACAGGGGCATAGATAGTGGTGGGATTTAGTCGGTTTGGGCCAGTTCTAGTGAACCAGTTGTTAAATTGCTGACTGGCCCTGTCCCTTCCTGCCCCACCCCTTCCAGGAATCCCCACATGCCCCATTTTGGCTCCCAGGGAAGTGCAGGGAAGTGTAGTAGGCCCAAAATGGGGTATGGGAGGGCGGTGCCCCCCCCCCGGCTTGTTTTTGCTCCCGTGGTGGTTGCAGGAGGCTGGGTGATGCCTGTCACACCCCCTGGCTATGCCCACCACCCAGCCGATCATTAGGGCAGAGAACCAGTTGTTAAATTATTTGAATCCCACCACTTCAAACAGACTTCAAACTAATGAACTAATGTGTTTGACCCCCATCCTCAGGCTCAGCCTGGTCATCCCCTATATCTCTCTGTCTGTATAGAGTAGTTTGCCCTACCAGTGTTGGCATTGTTTTTGTGGTTGATTGTTTCATGTAAGTTCTCACATATCTGGGTTGTTGGAGAGGATGGATTCTGATCCTTCGCTTCCTTTTTAGCATTTTTAAAAATTATTTCTTTTTATTGGTTTGCAAATGTGGTTTATTTCTGTGTATCTATTGAGGGCTGATTTGTCTGACGCCAAGTTTCCAGGAATTCCAGGAGTTTCCCAGTTAAAACGTTGGTTTCATAAACCATATGGAGCTACCCATACTGTCTTCTGCTGAAACCTCTACTTATTGTTGTTGTCATTTTTAAAAACTGGAAAAGACATCTTCTGAAACACAAAGACTTGTGGCTAATCAGAGTAAATTGTTTATTTATAGTAGGCAGCTTCCCAAAATTTAATGCCATGGGCTTGTCTTCTTCCAAACAGGAATCATGTCTAAAATGATTATTAACAGTGAGTTAAGCAAATGCATGGATAGTATTGACCAAAACAGTGTCTCTGAATTGGACTGCCCTGTATTTGTGCACCAGAAGGTATTCACAAGAAAAAGTGGAAGAGAGAATGAGGGAAGACTCTGTCAAAAAGTCAGGATCAGCAGAAGCTTCAAATAGAGTTGGAAAAATTCCAATACGAATATCAACAACGAAAAAATAGACCCCACTTGAGTTTGGTACAAGTGTAGGGGGAACTCAATGTCACTTTTTGGAAGGAAAGCTTTGTTTATTTCAGGCAAAGCAGAGACATTTCTATTTTGAGAAAAGGCCTCCTGGCTGGGAGGAGAAGAATTTCATTTTCAGTGCTCGCCCATGCTAATCTTTTCTTACAGAAGTTTTGGCCAAGCAGCTAATTCAATTCTGCAAGTCAAGTCATTTCCTTCTTCAGTGACTTACCCTTTTCTTGATTGTAGAAAGTCGATCCCATAGAAAAGATGGGATTAATGGCAACCTTTTCACAAAGCTGTTGTGAAGATGTAAAATTACATGGTAAATTTAAAGCTGCACACTTCAAAGAAATCTTTAGAAATTATTGTACTTTAAAGTCTATTATGCTTAAGGATTCAGTGACATGGTCCTTTCAAGCACCATTGTGCACCTTGAACATGTTATCATTAGTATAATTTTGAAAGAGGATGATTGATCAGTGCGTGGGCCTGAATAATGTTTTCTTCACTTGGATGCACCCCAGAACTGACTTGCCCCAGAATGGCCTGAGCATTTCTGCATGAAGCAGGTGTTATGGACTACAGCTGGTTGCCCCGTGCTGAACCTCTTGGCTATAGAGTTAAAAATAAATATAGTTCTCTGTCAAATATCGCCAGCAGGGAAGTTCACAGAAGAAGAGCATAATCCAATTGGTAGTGAAGATCTAACATGTGTGTGTGAGGAGGGGGTCACTCATTCACTCTAAGCAGTCTTTTGCTATCTTTCATGCTGCACTGAGCTTTGTGGATTACGGTGGGGGTTTTTTTCCCAGAGAGCTTTCTATGGGCATTCACCATCCTTTTGCTTTTCTTTCTTCAATGCAGGATTACAGAGTGAACATTTTCTTGCGGCAGCAATGGAATGATCCCAGGCTGGCTTACAATGAATATCCAGATGATTCCCTAGATTTGGACCCATCCATGTTGGATTCCATCTGGAAACCTGATCTGTTCTTTGCTAATGAGAAAGGAGCTCACTTTCATGAGATCACTACAGATAATAAACTCCTGCGGATCTCCAAAAGCGGCAATGTCCTATACAGTATCAGGTATGTTTCCTTTTAACAGAAGGTAACAGAATAACAGAGTTGGACGGGACCTTGGAGGTCTTCCAGTCTAACCCTCTGTTCAGGCAGGAATCCCTATACCATTTAAGACAAATCATTATCCAGTCTCTTCTTAAAAACTTCCAGTATTGGAACATCCACAATTTTTGGAGGTGAGTTGTTCCACTGATTAATCGTTCTAACTGTCAGGAAATTTCTCCTTAGTTCTAGGTTGATTCTTTGCTTGATTAGTTTCCATCAATTGCTTCTTGTTCTACCCTCAGGTGCTTTGGAGAATAGCTTGACTCCCTGATCTTTGTGGCAATCCCTTAGATATTGTAACACTGCTATCATGTCACCCCTAGTCCTTCTTTTCATTAAACTAGACATGCTCAATTCCAACAACCGTTCTTTATATGTTTTACTTCAGTGATGTGCAGTCAATAGAGGCAGGGGAGGTGGGGCCTCACCAGTATCCTGAGGAAAAGGAAACAATTTTTAAAATAATTAAAAAGGCCAAGGTAGTTGCTCCCAGTCACAGTGACTCTGAGTCTGCTTAGTGCAGTTTGTAGGAGGAGGCTAGAGAACTATGGGCCTCCTTTGCATAAGGAATTTTTCGC